ACACTGTGCAGTAAACATACCAATACAGACAAGTTTCTTGTGTTTCCCAACAGGTCTGCTTCAGAGTCAATCCTTACAGCTTCAAGAGCAGGAGAAACTCTTAATAAAGAAAGGTCAGCAAATTTACTTCCACAAATTCTAAGACATTGCTCTTTCCATGCCTGCCTAGAGGCAGGGGGATGGACTACATGGCCTCTTGGAGTCCCATCCAGTTCTGACATCTGTTAGGTCAGGGATCTGGGAAAGCTTGTTAAGGGCTGATCATTGGCTCTGAGAACACTTTAACTAGGTAGCCTCCTACCCTGAGAGGTATGTAAACTGTGAAAAGGGATTTCTACTTCCCCTGAAAACATGTCTGTGTTGAACATTTCAATAAATTGATTTTGAACTCAGGATTGCATGTCAATTTTTACACTTGACTTTCCAAATCACATCCAGCTTCCCCTCTAAACCATGTTGCATGCAGAAGTGGCCTCCCCCTCAGCCCTCAAGAGTCTGCTGCCTTAGCTTCCTGATAATCCATCATGCATATGGAGGGGCAAAAACTCCTCACGTACCACTACACAAGGCCTTTCGTTTTCTCATCACAATCACTGGGTAAATGGAAGGCAGAAATCATTACACCCACATAGTATGGATAAGAAAATGAAGGTCTTATGGTCACACAAATTAAAGACGCAGCTAAGACAATAATGCAGAATTTAATCACTATTCCAGCGGGTTCTTCACAAGACGAAGACTGCCAGGTGGCTGGAAAACCATCTTTAACCACACGAAGATGAATTCTAGGATGTGACTGCCTTCTCATGACTGAAATAAGGACAGAAAGGAAGGGGGTTATATTGACGCATCCAGCAAACCTACCAGTATAACTAGAAAGGATGTGACCCCTAACCAAAGAAATTGGATTAAGAAGTATACTCTAAAAGTATCTGGCATTAGACAGGACTAGGGATACGAAGAAAAGTAAGATGCCAACCTTGCCCTCAGTGGGGCTCAAATTCCAGCTCTCTGTCCAGTCTGAGCAGGGTCCCAATGGGAGTTCTTTAAAAGTCAGAGAATTCCATCCCCTGAAGTCTAACCAAAAGACAGACCCTCTCTTTCTCCCTCCCCACCCTTCTCCTCACTCCCAGGGGTCCTCTCATTGACAGGGCCCTTCCTCAGAGGTGTGGGCCTCACCATCACTGAGAATCTGGCTGCTTTTTTAGATCAGGCTTTGTCTGTGCGGAGCCCAAAGCCCTCCCTTAACGAAGTGGAGCCTGAGGGTACAGGGAAGGAGAAAGACTGGGATTTCAAAGACCAGCTGCAAAAGAAGACTTTGCAGCTCCAGGCCAAGGAAAAGGAGGTGAGATGGTGACCTCAGGTAGTAGTGGGGGGCTCAGCCTACGGAGGTAGGGAAAACTGCTGGAGGCATCCAGACAGCAGGGATTTCAACACCAGACATTGTGATTGGATGCCTCCAGGGTATTCATTTGACTGTAAAAACTGTCTTGCTTTAGGGTTAGTTTGTCTATCGTTTTCCTTCATTATACAATCCTTATTCATTTTATTAGCTACTTTTTAGTAAGTCAACCTAAACTCAAACACACTTCATGAACAGTAACTCCTCAAACTTTGCGCTACACTGAGTATGTTAAAGCTTTATAGTCTTTTAAGTAACAAAACTCTTCCTATCTACAAATTCACAGACACATATCCTCGGCTACTGACCAAGAGCCTTGTACTGTGATCACTTCCAGGTCTTCTGTTCCATAAGAATTTCATTTTTTTGGATGTCCCCTTTACAAAGCCCTTGCTCACTGTCACATGAAAGCACACACTTATATAACGTCTATAAGTAATAAATATATAATATGCATTATAATCACTCATGTAAATGAACACACATTCCAGACAAACTAGGTCAAACAGCAAAAGGCAAACTGAAATCACTGAGAAGGCCTGGGAAGGAAGGGAGTACCAATTCCAAATGAATGAATGGGTAACTGACAGGGGGCCTTCTCCTTTACCTGGTGATGACCTTGGTGGTATTCTCCCCGCAGTGCAGAGAACTGCATTCCGAGTTAGACAACCTCAGTGATGAGTACCTCTCCTGCCTGCGTACGCTGCAGCACTGCCGAGAAGAGCTGAACCAGAGCCAACAGCTGCCTCCCAGAGTAAGAGCGTGATCCTCCCATACAGCCCTCGATGATGGTGGGACTATTCCTCCTTTAGCCACATCTTCTGACCAGCCTGTCCCATTCAGCTTCGTTTATACCGACAGTACAGCAACCATGGAAAGGAACACTGGCTTATGCACCCCAGCTTAATTTGCATGGAACTTTCTTGTTGTTGTTAATCCTTACCCGAGGATATGTTCCCATTGACTTTAGAGTGGGAGGGAGGAGTGAGAAGCATCAATATGAGAGACACATTGATTGGTTTTCCTCCTGCACACAGCCCAGTGGGCCGAAAAACGAACTTGCAACCCAGGTACATGCCCTTGTTCAGGAATCGAACCCACAACCCTTCTGTGCACAGGGCAACACTCTAACTCAGGGGTCCTCAAACTACGGCCCGCGGGCCACATGCAAATACAAATATTGTATTTGTTCCCGTTTTGGTTTTTTACTTCAAAGTAAGATATGTGCAGTGTGCATAGCAATTTGTTCATAGGTTTTTTTTAAACTATAGTCCGGCCTTCCAACGGTCTGAGGGACAGTGAACTGGCCCCCTGTTTAAAAAGTTTGAGGACCCCTGCTCTAACTACTGAGCACACCAGCCAGAGCATTTTTTTTTTCATGGTACAAGTCTTAAGCCTGAAGGGACTATTAGCTAAAATAGGAAATGGTGTTTTTTGGCCTATTGAGTGTAGTGGCAAGGACAGAATGAGGAGAGAAAATGTAACAAGCAATATGAACAGAGAATACAATTTTGCTGAGTTATTTTCCACCTTTGATTGGACTTGTCAGTATTTAAGTATCTGGCCCCAGCTGGCTGTGGTTCCCTGGGCCAATGATCCTGGCTTATGGGCCAGTGACTACCAGCAAAGTGGTTTTATCCCAGGGGAGGTAACAAAATGATAGAAAAAACCTTCCCCTCTTCCACCAACCCAAGATTTCCCACGGGGCCAGAATGGGAAGGAAAATTGTTTTTGCCTATATCTTCTCCAACCAACCCATGGCTTCTCTCTTCTCCCCCTCCATCCCCAGAGGCAGTGTGGCCGATGGCTATCGATGCTGGTCGTGATGATTGCTATAGCGCTAGCAGTGTTCGTGGCCAACAAGGACAGCCTGATGATCTGAATAACTTGTGACAGCCGCCTTGGGTGAAAATCAGAAGCAAAAAACTCAATAAAAAACTCAAGAAGGTTTGGATACTTTCAAGTGTGGGTTTTCCCAACTCAACTGAGATTTTTAACTTTATTATTTTTTTTCCATCTACTGTAAAATAAACAAATAAACTTCGCCTGACAATCTGTTTCCCAGAATTGTTTATTCATGAATGACCGACCCATCACATCACAAATATAAGACACTTGAGCATCCTGGTCTACTTTCCTTAGTCCAATTCAGTTGGAGGTATATAAACATGCAGTAAAGCCCAGGCCTGCTATTTTCTAGTGAACACTACCCACAAAGTATATTTACAACATTACCATACTATACATATAGTATACAAGGGTACACTGCTGTCCTCCACCTCCCTTCTTCTCCACGATCCTTTTTTTAAACGATCCTTTTTTTAAATAGCTATTTTCCCCCTTATACTAACCTTCTCCATCTACCCCCTCACTCCCTTCTCCACAATCTCTTTCCTTCTATCTTCTATCTAGTGAAAAAGGAATAGACATCTCAGTTAAGTCAAGAGGACTCCTTAGTATAGAAATGGCAAGTATGTACTACTAATGCTGCCGCCACCACCTGTTCCCGTGCCCATCACAGACGCGGCCAGTTGACTAGAGCATTCTTTCCTGGTGTTCTCAAGATGCTCAGAATTGACACTTGAGATGATGCCTATTTGTAATCCCTGACTTAGAGCTGAATATTTAGTGAGTACTTTCTACATGGGAGTTAGAGGGCCACAACTGGCAGGGTGACTATCTCAGAGGAGATGCTCAGGTCAGTAAAGTCATTCTGAGCCCTACATCGAGTCCTCAGGTCCTTCTCCCAAGTGTTTAGAATGTCTCTCAGGGCTGGGAACAAGCTCTCTGGGACACTAAAGGAATAGAGCAAGACTGGGGGTTGACCAAGAAGCCATGAGATCCGAGCAGTGAACACCCGTAGTGGGGTCATGGCTAAGCAGTTGTCATCTCCCTGGTTCAGGTGAAAGGTATAGGGAACAGGATACCCCAGGAGAATCCCAAACACAGTACAGAGATTCCAGTCTGAGGAGCAGAGTCTGCTGCAGGAGATGGCCAGGGACAGGTCCCTCTGCAACCCCTGCAAATGGGTGATGATCTTGGCAATGAGGGACTTCAAGTCCTGAAGCTGGTCCAGGGAGCGGATAGAAGGGTGAGATTGGGAGCTGGAAACATCCACAAAGGTTACAGGACCAAGCAGCACCTGCTCCAGGTGCTGACATACATATTCAGGTATGACGATCAGGCTGTTGCCTCCAATATCAAGGATGTGAAGTCCCTTGGTCAGGAAACCCAGGCCCTGCAGCTCCCCCAGATAGCGCTGGAGCTCTGATGTCCCCGCACCGTTGCAATCATACAGCAGGGCTGGCTTCAGCCCCCGGGCCACAGCCAGGACCTCTCCGGCCAGGTGAAGGCAGACAGCTCGGGCCGGGGCCCGTCTCTTTCCCATGCTCAGGGTCTGCTGAGCAGCTGCCACCAGCAACTGAGGACTTGGTGTCGACATGAGATCTGGAAGCAACATCAGGCATGGCCTCTTTAACTAGAGACAGTTCCCTCCCCTGGGCATCTCTGAGCTCCAGACACTTGAAGGACCTAAAAACAAAGCAGGGCCAGGGGATTATTAACAACCAGCCAGTGACATACATACCAGGACACCTGCCAACAGCCCTCCCCCGGCTTATAGCATCTTCCAAAGGTCATTGTCCCTCCTTGTGCTTTGGAATGCTAACCCAGGCCGGGCAAGATGGGGTGATTTCTACGGTTGACTCCGTCTCCTGGAGCCCCAAATACACGTGTCTTTCTGGATTTAGTGATAGGTTTATATTCTTTCTGGCTTCTATTCCAAATTGTGGCCTTTGTATATTACTTTCTCTGATTCAAACTGTGAGAAGTTTGGGGCAACGAAGAGGTAAGACAGTCTCTTGCAAAATTCAGAGCATTTCACCTAAAACTGCCCTCGGAGGCAGAGTTCTAGGCTCCAAATGTACTCTTCCCCCCGCCAATTTGCCCTTCTCTTCCCGCCAGCAGAGTTCTGAGAATAGACATCTGATGAAGCTGACATACACTAGCATGTGGGCTGATAACCATCTCACCCTGTACAGGTAAATAAATGAAATGTGTAAGAGTTGCAGGAGGGTGGTATTTTAATTCCCGCCAACCCTCCTGGTGGACATCCACGGACCCTCCGCGGAAGGGCTCACCCCAATGCCCACACCCTTTTCGGAGCCAATTATCGTGTCTTATTAAACCAGGCAGACGGCTCGGTATCACACACGTACGTTCGCCTTCCACTTCCGCTGCAGGTTCGCGGGCTCAGGAACGTCTTTTTATAGTCCCTTCGCGCCGCCACACAAGCCACGAACCGTGCAATCCACCGGCCCACGGGAAATCCCGCCCGCTCGGCTTCCGGTCGGCAGAGCCGGTCTACTGCGCATGCCCAACACGACTCCTCCCACCCCGCCTCCTTCCATGACGTCACCAGCCCGCTTGCCGGGAGGCCGGTCCTTTCCTCCCACCAGAAGCTGGCCCCGCCCCTCAGTATAGGAACCGCGAGGAGCGGAAGTGGCCCTGAGAAGGCGGGACCTGGTTGATTGGCAGCCCGCTGCTACCCTCCTCGGCTTCCGGCAGCTGGCTCCAGGCGGTGCAAAAACACTTTCATTTGTGCCTAGGGAAATGCGATTTCCCCTCCGAACGAGATTTATCTCAACGCGGCGCGACGTGTTTTGCAGAATCTCCACACCTCCTTTGGTACGACAGAGTTTCAGAGGTTTGTTTTGTTTTGTCAACGTTGACCCGCCTGAACCCTAAACTTGAGTGGCTCTGTTCTGAGAAGTGGGTGGACCCGTGCTATGCTGGTCCAGGGTGGTCCTGTATAAGGGTGTGAATGGCAGGAGCTCCCGGTGAGCTAACGTGTGCTAGGCATGCTTCTCGGAGGTGTCACAGCGCACAAAGCAACTCCCACTCCCCCATCAAGCAGCTTAAGTTGTAGGAATTCAGTTTGCCGACTTCACATGAGAGATGAGACAGGGAGATGCAGAAGCTTTTCAATCAGGTCTTTAAGAAAAGTGGTATTTCACCGAAGGGTTAACACCTCTTTAATTACCAGCATAAACTGAAGGGGAAGATTTTGAGAAAACTTTTATCTGAGAATATGACCCAAATTTATTGATAACATGGACAAGGCAGAGGCTTAAGGGAATTGCAGGCACCCACACTGGAGGTTTCACTACTGGTCCTGCCTTGGAAGTGTCTTCAGGAGATGAAGAGACCATATGGAGTAACGATGGGGCCAGCCTGGAAGTTGGACTAGTTTGTAGGGGTTCCAGTCCCACCCTGGTCCTGAACTCAGAGGGAGTCAGAAGCAGAGACCAGATACTAATTTTAGAATTTTTTCCTGCCCCATATTTATGTTACCATGGTGGTTACCAACAAATCCCTAAAAGACTTACTTAGCTCACTCATTTATTCTAACAACAAATATTTGAAAACATACTATATTACCAGAAAATATGCTAAGGGCTGGCGTCAAAATCCAAAATGAGCAGTTTCTACCTTCAGCAAGTTTGTAGTCAAGTAAGACACAGATGCTGAGCAATTACAAGGGAGTTGATGACTCTGAAAGAGAAAGTACAGGGTGCTATGGCAACATTGACCAGAGACCTAATTATGTGTGGCGATCCAACACTTGCCCTCCCAATTTACCTCCAGTGGATACTTTGAGCTAACTTTGGTGGTAGAGTAGACAGTGAAGGAAAAGGAGAGCTGCTGACACCATCTAACTCTTCCCAGTTTTCATCAAGGTGAAGGCAAGGAAGTAGAAGACACCAGGGGAATGAGAGGTTTAGCCACTAAGGGGATAGTAACCTGAGTCTCCAAAAGAGAAAGGACACCCAGATCTAGTTAAGACCACGTAAAGCCACTCATCCAGTCCTCCGACATGTTTATAAAGTTTTCATTAGTCACATGCTAAAAGTTTGATGCTTCTTGGCACTTCAGAACACTATTTTCAATACCCAGCTTCACATTTTCTGGGCCCCCATCCAGATGGACAGCCTGGCTGTTAGCATCTCACAGAAGAAGGGAAAGGGACCAGCTCTACCCATTTATCTACAGTGAGTTCTTTATCATTTGGAGCTATGCAGGCACAGACAGAGGCAGCCAGACATCAAAACCAAAACCCTCACTTCACCCACCCTGCAAAATAACCAAAAATATAGTTTCTATACCTTGCATATTTTCTGGTCTCTAGAAGCCAAATTTCTGCTCACCTCAAATTTCTGAACACCTCACCTTTACCCAGGTTTCTCTTGGTCAGACTTTAGTAATAACAGATCCTACTAGTCCCTTAGAGACTCTAAAACTAGGGCTTAAGCCAGGGGTCCTCAAACTACCGCCCGCGGGCCATATGCAGCCCGCCAAAAACATTTGTTTTTTTACTTCAAAATAAGATATGTGCAGTGTGCATAGGAATTTGTTCATAGTTTTTTTAAAAACTATAGTCCGGCCCTCCAACGGTCTGAGGGACAGTGAACTGGCCCCCTGTTTAAAAAGTTTGAGGACCCCTGGCTTAAGCATTCGAAATAAGTCCCACTGACACCTGTGATTGAATTGAAGCTCTGGTTTTGAAATAAAACTAGCTTAACTTTTCAGCTAGCTCGACTCCAGTAGCAGGTAGGAAGTGGCTTGGTTTAAGGGTAGCAGACTAGACATGGGCTTTCTAGTAGTAAATATGACCTGGCACCAATGCAAGAGGATTGGGTGTGCTACCAGAGATTACCATCATTTTTCCCAAGATGTCATTGAAATTTAAATCATGTGTGATTTTACCCATAAAAAAAAAAAAAGGCAAAGGGTCAGGGGCCTAGCAAAAGTTAATAAATAAGACCAATTCATGGCACCTATAGATGCAAAGTTCAACACCTTCATTATTCACACCCAGCTACCTCCACTAGGGAGACAAGCAGGTTTGTGCTAAGGTGAGCCTTTTTCCAGAAAAACACTTCCCAGCCCTTCTTCACCTTGGCCTTAACCCACTCAACACCCTATTTTTCCCCAAATGTAAATAACCCAAATGATAAGAAGGCTGTAAAATTCTCCAAACAAGGAGGAACTGTCCCTTTTATACTCAGCAGTTTTCCTAGATGCCCAGCTCATCCCCAGGTCTTCCTCAGAGAATAAAAAAAAAAAAAAAAAAAAAGGGGGCTCTGTCCTCTCTGACGGCTGCCAGCAAGTCACACACCCTCATCTACCCCCCACACACACAGTGGTATCTGAGTGATGACGAGGCAAACACCAGCCAACCAATTCGTCCACAGGATCCTGGGCCTTCTGTGTTGACAGCTTCCCTTTAGAAGCTCAATTTATGAGCGTTTACTCCACAGGCCGGGTGACTTTCAGACTTTGGCACCTATTTCTATTTAGATATCATGTTTGGTTCCTAAGCAACCAGCTGGCTCCCTTCCCTCTCACTTCCCCCGTCGGGGAGCCAGCTTACTATACTAGCAGAACAGGTCAAACAGAGATCAATCTTGGACAAATCAGCGCTTGAGGGAACTTTAATGAAGGCAAGAAAAAAAAAAGTGGTACAAGAACAATTCAGAAGGGTTCTGTTCCAGGCAGTTTTTCCTTGTACAAGTAGAATGAGGTCATCGAGTCAGAGTTTTAAAGCTGGCATTATTTCAGGCATCATTCCAACCCCTTCACTTGACAGTAATGAATCTGAAGCCCAGAGGTTAAATGACTTGGTTCAAGGTCGTACATTGAAAGTAAAGCCGTCGTTAGAACCCCTGGTGTCCAAATCTCCTTCTACTACAATTTTACTACCATTGGGATGTTTATAAAAAAGAAAGGGAAAGTATAAAGGGTGATTTTTCCATAAATTAAATCAACTTTAAGAACCAGGCATATTTGGAGAGTCAGAAACTACTAACATTGTTAGAAAGAAAAGGGGTTTTACAAGCTGGTTAAATCTGAATAATAAAAAATATCCATATGTACAATATTGTAAAAAAAGAGAAGGAAGATGGCATTCTCGATTACTGAGCCGGCAGGGCCGGGGGCAGCTGCATGTTGGGGGTAGACTGCATGGGCTGCCAGCTTTCCTGGGTTTGGAGGATGCGATACAGCTGCTTCAGCTGAGCAACGATGTTATCTTTGATGTCTGGAGTCGAGATCTGCAGGCGGACACTGCCACTGTCAAAGGATCGTGTGAAATCACCAGAAAACATCTCGTAGATCATGCGAGCCACCACCGGAATAACCTGTTCAGGACACAGAGCACACAGGTATCTGCTGAGGAAAGGGTACTTTTCAACAGCAGGAGGGACTCAAGATTGAAGGAAGGACCAGTAAAGCCCTGGGGAATCTCCCACTCTAGATATAGGATATGCCTTCATCTCTCCGAACCATCCTATTAGGGTTTACTCTAAAAGTTGATTCAAAATGAAGGTAAAGAATCTAGATGTAGCATCCTATCACATATCTAAACAAATAACTGCTTATTTAGCAAGACGTTTACCCAAATTTCATCTATTGCCTAGTCTTGTTGTACAAATCCAGGGGCCAAACCCAAGTGATCTTGATTTTACTTCCTAGAATAAGGTTGTGTTCTTAAAAGTAACTGAAAGGTTTTTGTCAAAAAGCTGTAAGGATCATATCCTGTTAGGTTTCAGCAAGACTCTAACGTCCGTAAGAGAATGAAAGCCAAGGTAATGAATCTGAAGCCGTCAGAGACTTTGAGGACCTTGTATTCCCCATTGTGGACCTACTGTGCAATGTGCAAAGCTTGGGTCTGGTACTCCATCTGATGGGATTAAAACCCACACAGGCTGATGGGTCCTTTGCTCAGGGCTCTACCTCAGACCTAGGAGCTAAAGCTTTGATGAAAAGGTAAGGAGTTATTGACATATCCTTTATCTCCTCACCTGAACCAAGATGAGTTTCCTTTCCGGGGGTTTCCCGTCTGGCCATTCTTCTCCAAAACATAAGTAGATCTCAAATGGCGGCTGCTTCTCTATCTGTCCCTTCTGATGGGCAATGAGATCTGCAGAAGGTGGAGAGCAAGTTTGGTGTCCTGGGCCATTCCATACCCACTCCGTAAATACCATCCTAGTATGGTAGGCACTAGCCACCATATGTGTCTATTCAATTTAAGTTGCTTAGTCACATGAACATGCTCAATAGCCACATGTGGCTAGTGGCTCCCATACTGGACAACACAAATACAGAACATTTTCATCATTTCAGAGGAAACCACTGAGCTAGACTTGGGGTTCAAACCACATTGTAAAATTCACAATGCAGTGGTCTCCCTAAATGTGCCTGCTTGAAGTCACCATTCGGATATTTTTCAAAGGAGAAGAGTATGCGTCTTGCTGATTATAATGAACAGGGTCACCTTCCAAAGTTAAGGATAAACTGGTAGCATTTGGGAGCTAATGACGAGGCTGTTTCCCTCTTCTGCCACTAAAGGTGCTAAAAACCAACTAAAAATAGTGTCTAAGTTCAGAGCATTGGAGTGGAACGCCCTTCTTTGTTGCCCAGATCACTTTCATTTCTCAGAACCAAAGTTCTTTTCAACCTTTACTTCCTCCAGAAAAAAAAAACAAAAACGTTTGCAGAGCCAGGAAAGGGAGGCGGGATGGAGGAAGACATATTTCCAGGGACCACTTCCCACCCATCAACCTTCTGAAAAGAGACTCACCACTAAGGAATGTTTCCAGACAAAAGAGTTTGACCTTCTTTTGCCTCTCAATCAGGTTGGGAGCAACAAGTGATGGGGCACATGGCCCCGACCAGTACACCTTGCACTGGCACAGCCTGATGGCATAAATGGCGTGACCGCTGACCTCCAGGATCAGCCCTCTGTCCATGACGTCTAGCAGCTTGCTGGTGAACAGTTTCTGCTTCTCATTGGTGATGTGCTCCGGACCTGGGAACTTGACCTGCTCCAGACTGACAGGACCAAAGAGCTCCTCCTGGTCAGGCATGGGACCCAGATCCCCATAGAAGAGCCGGCAGCCCTGGGGGTTGCTCACGGTCAAGGTCTGCACATATTCCTTCCCACGGTACTGAAACTTGATGTCCAGGTCAGTCACTGCAAGGTGAGAGAGAACAGTGAGGGTCCAGCTCTGCTGCTCTGCCCATTTATCCCTAAGACTCATACAAGTCCATCAAGATTGAGCTACCTTTCTACCAGCGTTCAGGAAGGCCATGGCCATAGTTATCCTCCCTGCAATAGAGGGAGACATCAACATAACCCTGAAACAGTCACGCAAAAGGCTGTCTTGAAGCAAACAGTTCAAAGGTCCATCATGCCTATCTCTGTTCAATCACCACACCCTAAGGGCTGGAATTCCTCCAAGCTAAGGTCCGAGTCCTGGTCTTCCCATTTCATACTGAGTCTCTGTATCTATAGGCATGGGAAGGAGCTAGAAACTAAGGTGTCTGGTTTGTGTCATATTTTTAAAGAAACCAGCAAAACAAGAATACCAACTCATCTTTCTGTTTTAACAATATATAATAAAAAAGATACAGCTCACAGCAAACTAAATTTTCACTCAGCAAGTCTCCCTATGGTCTTATTAAAGCTGTTAGCCTCTTGGACAAAATTCTTGCATTCTCCCCCACTTCTCCCCATGTGTAGATTGAAAGGGAGATGGAGAATTGACAATGATTCTTTTTTTATTTTAATATAATTATTTTTAATTTTGTTAATTGATTTTAGAGAGAGAGAAAGGGAGAGAGGGAGAGAAACATCGACTTGTTCCACTTATTTATGAATTCATTGCATGGACACAGACAATAGGGTGCCCTGACCAAGGATCAACCTTAGCACATCAGGACGATGCTCTAACCAACTGAGCTACCCAGCGAGAGCGACAATGATTCTTCATTGAAATAAATTTGTGCCCAATCCAGAAAGAGATTTTCTCTGAACCCTAAAGCCCCTTCAAAATCTAAAAACCCCCTTTACTAAATCCATGGCCATTACCTCCCTATTCCACCACTAGTCTTATCCCCAAATCCCCTAACCAAACTGATAAAACCAGGACTCCCACCCACTTAAAAGGTGAGTAACCTGGAGCTGAAACCAATCAGAGCATCCTCTTGGGCAATTAGGCATAGGCTACTGTCTCTTTATGTGTGCCCTGGTAACCCATCATCAGCTGGCCAGGAACCATACGCAGAAGGTACCTGTGGAAAAGGTAGCTATTCTATACAAGGCAAAGAAATGGAAGCAGAAGGAAAGGCAGGAAGGGACTATATTAGGAGCTGAAGACCCATCAAGAAAGCCCAGGGCTCACTTACTTGGAAGAGAGCTGATCCACAGCTCTGGAGAGCTATAGAAGGGTTGTATAGGTGCCTGCGGTACTTCCATTTCCAGAGGTTCCGTTTTGGGCCACACTGCTTCAGGGCTGCAGTTGCCCACACTGCAGTTGCTTACACTACAGTTGCCCACACTGGCCGGTGCCATGGGAGAACCTAGAACAGAAGGATGTGGCTGAGCAGGCAGGGGCACCACACATGCACAGCATCTGGTCTGAGGCTCTAACACCTAACAAAGTCAACAGACAAGAGTCAAACACTGGATCGAGATAAATGTGGCAACCCACCGAGGATCCCCACAACTAACACAACAGAAAACACCTGCCTCTGGGAAACCTAATCATATTGGTTCTCCCATAAACTCATAGTCATGAAAACCTGGGTTTGCTGAAGATTAACAGAGGGGTGAGTTTTCTCTGGGGTTAAATCAGTATGAGCATATATGAGAGGTTCTCTGTCGTAAAATTTGAACCCTGCAATTAAATAAAACCTGGTTATCTTTCATAAAAGGAACTCAACGGAATCAGTTTATTAGCTTTGAGTAAGTGTTAATTTATCAAAATTCCATTAAAAACAAATACTTTACATGCTTAAAACATCTGAAGGGATACTCAAGGACCCTCCAGGGAAGGAACTGGAAGTTTCAGAGACGGGATGGAAGGAAAACCTTCTACTGATTACCTTTTTGTACCATTATGAATTTTAAATCATGTAAGAGTATTATTTATTCACAAGTACCCAAATAAAGCTATTCTTAAAAGTTAATTTTAAAAAACGCATCCTATTTCCCTGCTATTGGCCAAGTTGGCTCACTCAAAAGTCTACAGATATCTCCTCCTAGCCTCACCTCTTAGGCATCTATTCTTCCACAATTCTTCTTCCTCTGCCCCAACAGCTCTGGAATCACAGAGGTTAATGTTTCTTGGACCCTTTGTCTGCTTAAATCTATGTACCCATTTTACTTTGTTTTTCATATATGCCACACATCTTCCCAAAATGGGTCCAAGGCAGCCCGCAAGTATCTCATTTGAACCATAGCAGCCAGATGAAACTAGAAAAGCAGTGAAAGCTGCTCAACTGAATGCATGTCAAGGACCATTTGTGGGCAGTGCCAGCGAAGATGCCGCAGAGGAGCAGTTCAGCTTGTGTTCAAGCATCCTCAGGACAGGCAATGGGAGATTCAGTACCTGCCCTATCACACAGTGACCTTCCAACCTCTCAACTCATTTTTCCTGGAAAGCTGAATATTAAGAAGTCTACAAAAAAGAGAACCACGATGGCAGCATAGGTAAATGCCCGTTCTTGTTGCCTCCCACATCCACATCAAAATTACAACTAAAATGCAGAACAGCTATCATCCAGAACCACCAGAAAGCTGGCTGAATGGAAGTACCACAACCAGAGAAGTAAAGAAGCACACTGAGACTGGTAGGAGGCGCAGAGGCACAGAACGAGCTGGGGGGAGATAATTGGGAGGGAGATCGCCTCTGCAGAGGCCGCCTGGAGGAGCAAGGGGTCCCAGCCCCACACCAAACACCCAGCCCAGGGATCCAGAGCTGGGGAAAGACGTCCCTACGGGCAGTAAGAACTATGGACTGTAAAAACCAGTGGGGATTGGGGCTGAGTGACACACAGGCTGCTGGAGACCCAGCTGCTCCTCCTAAAAGGCCAGCACCACAAACTGAATTTACAAGCTCTCACTTCCTCTGAGCTCCAGTGCCAGGCGAGGCTCTGGGGGACCCAGACACATACAGGGAGAAATTGGACTGTCTGGCATTGGGGTTGGAACTTGGGGCAACTTTCTTCCAGACGGAGGTGCTTACGGCAGTCCTTGTTCTGGTGCTGGGACTTCCCCGGTGCAGGGCTGACTGGCAGCCATTTCTGTGTGCTCCACCCTGGTGATTCTCTGAGACCCCGCCCCACCCAATTTATAACCCCACACAAGCTATGGGCAGCAGCTTTTGCATATGAATGGTCTTTCCTTTCTCAGGCTAAAAATCTGTCAAACAAGCTATAGCTGGGTCAGGGATTCCCAAACGTATCAATAAAAGGCTCGAAACCCAGCACCAGCCTGCCTTGCTTCACAGCTGGTCCTCGTCTGGGCATTTCCAAACCCAATACATAGAGGAGGAATCTGCAGATCTCTCTATAGCTCCTGCTGGATGGCCCCAGGCATTGGCTGACTTTGCACCTCCCTGGAGACCCAAGAGCCAGTGTACCCAGTGGTCAGTGTGAGACCATACCAGATCACAACTCTTCACATGCATAAGCAACACATTCAAGGGGTAGACTCGGAGTGCCAACGCCCCACTGAAGCAAGTCCTGCTCCATAAGGGTGTCTCCTGCACAGCAGCTCTCCCGCTGTAGTCGCAACTAGCCCCACAGCCAATTGGCCTGGAGGTCAATTCCTCCCAGTGACACCAACAGCAATCAAGGCTCAACTACAACAAAACTGTGCACACAGCCCACAAAGGGGTGCACCAACAGTGTCCTTCTCAGGTGATTGGGGAGGCTGAGCCACTGGGCTACACAAGGCCACTCTATCAACTCAGACTTAGCAGCTACCCAATACATAGAAACAAACACAGGGAAGCAGCCAAAATGCAGAGACAAAGAAATATGTCACAAATGAAAGGAATGGAAGAAAGAAAACTGGATATAGAGTTCAAAAACCACAGTTATAAGGTTACTCAAGAATCTTCTAGAAACCTTTGAGGAACTTAGTGAGACTTTCAAGGATCTTAGTGAGAATGCCAAAAAAAAAAAAAAAAAAAAGGAAAAGGATCAGTCAGAAATTAAGCATGCACTGACTGAAATAAAGAGTAATATACAGAGATTCAACAGTAGAGTAGAGGATCCCGAGAATCAAAATCAATGATTTGAAATACGAGGAAGGACAAAACACCCAACCAGAAGAGCAAAAAGGAAAAAAATTCCAAAAATATGAAGATAGTGTAAGGAGCCTCTGGGACAACTGCAGACATACCAACAGCTGAATTATGGGGGTGCCAGAAGAAGAGAGAGAACAAGATATTGAAAACCTATTTGAAGAAATAATCAGAGAAAACTTTCCCTCCTGGACACCAAGACACATCCTAATTAAAATGCCAAGGTCAAAACATAAAGAGAATCTTAAAAGCAGCAAGAGAAAAACTGTTAGTTACCTACAAGGGAGTGCCCATTGTTGATTTCTCAACAGAAACTATGCAGTCCAGAAGGGAGTGGCAAAAAATATTCAAAGTGATGAATAGCAAGAACCGACAACCAAGATTACTTTACCCAGCAAAACTATCATTTAGAATTGAAGGTCAGATAAAGAGCTTCACAGATAAGAAAAAGCTAAAGGACTTCACCATCACCAAACCAGTATTATATGAAATGTTGAAGGATATTCTTTAAGATGAGGAAGAAGGAGAAAAAACTAAAGATAAAAAATATGAACAACAAAATGACAACAAATACATATCTATCAACAATTGAATCTAAAACTTAAATGAATAAAAAATCTGATGAACAGAATAAACTGGTAAATAGAATAGAATCAGGGGCATGGAAATGGAACAGAGGTAATTCTCAGAGGTAAGGATCTGGGTGTGGGGGTTGCAGGAAGAGATTAGAAAAAATCTTATATGCATGTATGCATTACCTATGGACACAGACAATAGGGTGGCGAGGGCCTGGGGTGGGATGGGAACCAGGAGGAGGGGAGCTATTGGGGAGAGGGTGGGAAAGGGACATCTGTAATAATCTCAACAATAAAGATTAATTTTTAAAAATGTATTTTTAAAAATCCACAAAAGAAAAGTCCCTTGCAGCTCAATTCTATCAAAGCCGAGAACTGAGAGCTGTAGAAACCACAAGTTCCCATCACAGAGCCTTAGCTGAGTAGACCCTGTCCAGAAAGTGACACAAAATTTATACTGATGGAAAGAGCAGAAGAGTCTACCTATAATTCATGAAAATGATGCCTGCAACTTGGCCTGAAAGAAGTCAGCAAAATGTATAAAAGTGTTGTATGTGGGACTGAGAATTAGTAAAATTTTTAACTGGGCCAGCAGAGTTCACTTGCCTATGACCCCTGCTTACTAACAGACCAGCAGCCTGGCCACAGGGCCTGGTCACTGCTCCCAGTGCAGTGGTGGCTGAGGGGTTAGCAGGAGCAAGGTCAAAGCCCTCCTCACCCCTCTGGACCACCTGTCACCCCTCCTCACCATTGATGTTCAGGAAGGGAAAGGTGTCCTGGATGGGAACATGGTGCTGTGACTGATCCAGCTCATCTTCCTCATCATCTTCATCCACATCATTATCCTTCTCATCCCAAGGAGCAGATCCAGTGGATCCTACCAAGAAACATACACGCAGCTGCAAGTGAACCCCCTCAGGTTCCAGTTATTGCTGTAGCGAACCCCCTGCACAAGCTAGGGGCAGCTAGCACAGGGGGTCTCTGGGCTCAGTGTGCACCCTCAGTGCCCTAATCGAGAAGAGTGGGAGCGGAGGATATATTGATCCCTGATTCCCACTCTTCCCACAGAGCCCTGATGTAAGCTCTCTTCCCCTCCCCTATTAAGGAACTGCAAACCCTACTCCCTTCTACAGAAATCTCTTAATTTGTATTCTAACCCTCTTCCTACACATTAGCATCCCTTTTAAGAACTCAAGGACACCAACTTCTCTCTTTTGTAAGCTTAATGTGAGAACAGACCCTTCTCTCCTGGCAGGGCCTCACCAGATTTGCTGAGGACAAATCAAAATTATCTGGCTCTCCAAAAAAAAAAAATTTATCTGACTCTTAATCACTTCTTGTTAAGGATTGGGTATTTAGGAGGATCGGGTGGTATTCTCTTAGTAAAAGTATCCTACAACTAAATGGCCACTCACCTCAACATTTATAAAGAGAACTTAAGAGCTTTTACACATGTCAATTGATTTTTGCAATAGCCTTTGAACTCTAGGCAAGAAAGATGAGCATCCCCATTTTTTCAGCTGAAAAACAGACTCGCTACGTCAAATGCCTTGATTCAATGTCCCACAAGTAGTGAAGTGACAAGAACCAGCTTTAGAACTCAAACCTTCTAAGTTTTATCTCTTCTTTCTTCTAAACTACCTAGCCTCTGCTCTTAGTGTTAAGTCTCAAGGAACTATTTTCTTTTTGGTAGAAATCTATGCTATACTCCCTCTACTTGCTAATGCTTTAAGCAATCAGGCTAGTACCTATCCCCCTAAATGAGCAAGAAGATTTTGCTGAGTTTACATCTTCTGTTCCCTGGGTCCTTCCTAGGGAAAGGCTTTCTTGCTTTACCAGTCTTAAACGTAAAAAGCCAGGCAATTTTCAAGTCACCTATCTCTTTAAGAGTCCAGCCTAGAACTTGACAAACGGTCCACCTTCTTCCCAGCAGCTGAGGCCTCACCTGGGTTAATGATGGAGCCCTGGGGCTGGGGGATGTCACACACTTGATATATCTTCACTGGATTCATGGGCACCTCCTTGGTGCCATCATACATCAGGTTGAATTCCCTGCTCTTGTTGAGAGCACAGCGGAGCTGGGCCTTCCATTTAGCCGGGTCAGGGTCATCCACCCCTTCCTGGTACTTCCCTGTCTCCACAGCCCAGGCCTGAGGAATAGGAAACTGCAGTGAGTGCCTACTGATGCCCAGACACACACACACACACACACACACACACACACACACACGCCCACGCAGATGACATGGAGGGTTTATACTGATGCAGCAGAAGGTAGCACCCACCACAAGACCATCACTGTGATTTATAAATATCACTTGTTCAAACCTGTTCTGAGTCATACTTCTGAGATTCTGGTCACTGTACAGGTCCCTATTTCTCTTCCTAAAATGGAAGTAACCCCTGCATTTTTATGGTAATCTACGAGTCCCATTCTTTCAATTTTCACAGCAATCCTTGCGAGGCAAGCAAGACTGGGTTCATCTCCATTTTACTGAAGGGAAATCTAAATCCCAAGATTATGTGACTTGCTCAAGACCACACATGCAATTGATGGTAGCAGGACCTGAAGACAGGTCTTCCAATTCCCAGTGAGAAGGGGCAGGATGAAAATGGGGGAGAAGGTAGGCCTGGGTTCAAACCATGACCCCACCATGTATTGGCTGTGTGATTTCAGCAAGCTACTTAGCCCCTCAGAGACTCAGCTTCTGCATCTACAACATGAGAGTAAACTCCCTTACAGAGCTGCCGAGAATTAAATGAGAAAATGGATATAGGGTGTGGATCAGGCATCCTCTTAATGCTAGTGCCCCTACCCCTAACCCACCACTCTGTCAAAGACCGGTCAGAGCTTTGGATCTGTGAAAGCAACCTCACTTTTCTCCTGACTTCTAAGGTTCTCCCTTAGCATCTGCAAACAGATACACAGATAAAAATGACCACACAGCTTCCCACAGCCCCCTTTTCCTCAAACCCTAAGCACGCAGATTGCTCTTCTGAGTGGAGCTTCTAGGAACCAGCCTCTTCCTCCGTGACCAGCTACGTCAACAGCAAACCCAATTTCAGACCAGCTGGAGGCAGGGCAGGCCCATCCCCCCTCCGTGCCAACTAGAATGTTGGTGCTGGTTTACAGATGTTTTCCTATCCCTATTGTATCATTATTTAATTTTAAATTAAGTGCTCGTTCACTTTCTCAGGCCAATTTTCTCTCTGCCTCTTCTCTCTACACCTGCCATAACGGAATCGGGTGGGAGACATCTCCAGGATGGCTCTCCTTTGAGATGTGAGCCCACCTTTCCTGGTCCAGTCTCAGCAAGATCTTGACAGGCCCACGGTAGAGACTGAATTTCACTTCTGACTTGCAGCTTAGAGTCAGGAAACAAAGGATGAATTCACTTCTTGGTGTCTTGGGGGTGCAGTAACAAAAGTTACTCACGAGCTGGAAGACTGACCAGCACAGAGAAGTTTTGGTCTGGGGATGGGGTGCAGGCTCGCAAGTTACCAACCACATCACACCCCTGCCCACAGTAGCTGCCCACCTGCTTCTGGCTAAGTCAGCTCTGGTTTCACTTAACATTTGTAACATGCCAGGTGATTAAAGCTTGTTTTCAGTTAAGTAAAATGACTCTCGTATCACAACAAACTTCTTTATTTTAATGTAATTTTCGATTTTTAAAATTTTAAATTATTTTTCAATTACAGTTGATGTGTAATATTATATTAGTTTCAGGTGTACAACACAGTGAGTAGACATTTATATAATTTACGCAGTGATCCCCTTGATAAGTGTAACACCCACCCAATGTTTTCAGTTAAGTAAAATGACTCTCGTATCACAACAAACTTCTTTATTTTAATGTAATTTTCGATTTTTAAAATTTTAAATTATTTTTCAATTACAGTTGATGTGTAATATTATATTAGTTTCAGGTGTACAACACAGTGAGTAGACATTTATATAATTTACGAAGTGATCCCCTTGATAAGTGTAACACCCACCCGACACCATACATAGTTATTACAATATTATTGACTATATCCCCTATGCTGCTTTTTATTTATAGAAAAGATATTTGTATAATGAAAACATAACTAAGTCACCTCTTAATTTTTAAGCAGAGGCATGGATAGGGCAAAATATGTCAATATCAAAAAGAAAAACTTGCTAAGGGTCCACTACCCCCATCTTACGGACTATGCTAGGAGCCTGCTGACACTCAGTAGTCCTGCCCTGGTCTGAAGAGCCATTCCCAGGCCGAGTCCTTTCTTCATAGCAAGAGCCCTGAGCGAATGAAGAGGAAGAGTCCATTGCTGACTCTTGGGAGCTTTTGGAACAATACACAGGAGTTTGGCCAACTTTACCCAGGATCCTTGGGAATGTGAATTGAGTACCTTGGACCAGTGGGAAAGAATAAATGACCTCAACCATCATAGACATGCCCCAACAAGAGAAATTACTATGCCTGTGAAGTTCGGGCACCCCCATCATAAACACTGTTGCATCAGCGTTTTGGATTTAGTGTATTCCTCATGTCAAAAGAGGAAACCAGCACAAACCATAAAAGCCAACAAAGTCTGAGAGAATGGAAAACGTTTCAAGTCAAAATGGTAAGGCTCTTTACCTTGAAAATGGTATTTTCCTCCTCCTGTTGGGGGCTATGCCGGGTGGCATGTTTCCAGGGAATCTGGAAGCGTTTGGAGTCCCTGTGCAGCCAGATGAGTCCAGGGTACAGGCCACTATCCACCTGGGCCACCAGCCAGGGCTTTAGCCGAACTCTGCGGGGGTGAAGGGCCATGATTCCTTCCTAAAGAACCAAGGGCTTTGGAAGAGAAAGAAAAGTACTCTTTTTTTTTTTAATATGTTTGTATTGATTTAAGAGAGAGGGAGAGAGAGCTAGAAACATCAATGATGAGATAATTATTGACCAGCTGCCTCCTGCACGCCTCCCCATTGGAGATCAAGCCCCCAATCCGGGCATGTGCCCTAACCAGGAATTGAATCGTGACCTCCTGGTTCATAGGTCAACCACTGAGCCACACCGGCCAGGCAAAAATTATTCTTTTCAAACTCGTCTCAGGAGACGGAAGAAAAATTGTTATGGAAACAATAAGGATGTGGGCAAGAACCTGAAGCATGCTCTCTTTTTAGACAGACAACTAAAGATGAATGGGAATATTTTAGTAAGAAATGACACCTTCATGGCGAGAGAGAAGTGGGCTGGGGGCTGTGAGGGGTGGGAGGTCCCAGGTCCAAAGTCCGCACTTACATAGAGCAGGTAGTATATCCACCAGGATCTGATTAGCTGGGCTTTGAGTTGGCTGTCCTTTCTCTGGGCCACCCAAAGATTCTGTACGGAAAAAAAAGGGGGGGGGGCGGGGAGAAGACTTGGTTATCCACAGAACAATCTAGTGTGTGGAAAAAGACTTGGGAATGCTGGAGACTCTGAGGACCCTGCCCTGCAGGTGAGTCTGGTCAAACTCAGAAACCCTAGAATAATCAAATACCACTGTTCCTAAGCCTAGAGCACTACAGACAGGACCTGTCCTGCTCGGATGGCCTCCTTACCTGGGTCTGCTCATTTCCCAGAGGCTGGGGTGAGCTGATTGGTTACAGGAGCCAGCCTGGGTAAAGTCTGCCCAGACAGAGCAGATAGCATTGGAGACAGCCAGCACTCACAACAGGAAACAAAGGTTTGCCTAGATTGTGTGCCCAAAGGAAAAGCTGGTCACTGAAGAATTGTTTGCCTGGAATGTTGTGCTTAGATTTTTATTATTTATTTTTTTTGGTGTTCTTATTTTACTTTGTTTTTACTTAAGGTGAGAAAGAAACACCTAAAAAATAACATTCGTTCAACAAAGAGTTGGCCATCAGCTACTGAGTGTCAAGCACTATGCTAGTTACTAAGCGCTAAAGCGCAATGTTTTCATCAGATTCCTTCCTGAAGAAATCCACATTAGAACTGCTCAAGCCCCATAAAGACCTGAGGAGGAAAGGAAGACAAATAAGTCACCTTCATACCCAGAAAGACCCCTCCCTGGATCACAGTTCAGAAACCAAATCAGCTGAGTCAGCGAAAGGCTCCCATTCAGAGGCGCTTAGCTGAGGGCTAGACTTCCATCCAATGGGGAGAACCCAAAGCCAACTCAGCCCTGGCACTTTAAGAGCAAGGCAAGACCTGGTCTTACCTGAGCCTTCTGACCCAATTACCATCTCCTGCAACTGAAACCTTCCCCCTGGGGAGCACAGCTCAGTGGGTAAGTGAGGTTGGTTGGCATGCAGAATTCAAATACCCCCACCCCCTGGTCTTGGCCGTGGTTTAGGTTGTTTTGCAGGGCAGCGACACAAGCCATCAAAGCCCAGAGACCATTGCCTTATAAGGAGGAGGAAACACATTCTCCCAAGGGCAAGTTCTACCTTCTCCTCAGTCCTGGCTTACTGGGAGGGGGAGGGGTAAGGGAAGGATGAAAAGAATAGAAAAATGGGCAGCCAACCAGTCAACCTAGCGAGGGGCTTTTGAGAATTTATATTGCAATGCATCCAAGTCCTGTGTCTGGGCTTGTCTGACACATAAAATCAACCTGTTGATGGATCCTGAACTTTGAAGAAAAGTGTTTACTCTAGTTGATCCACAGCCCATGAAGAAAAAATTAAGGCAACCAGGTCAACACGAGGAACTGCACATAGTGATGGGGAAGGAGAAGCAGCCACCCATAGAGACCGGTGATTAAGATCTCGAGCCCTGGTTCTCAGCGTTCTCCCGAGATGGCCGAGATGGCCGTACCCAAGAGCAACCCGCCCCAGCCTGCCCTCCTCCACCTTCTGAACGTCAGCCAAGATCTCCCCCATCTGCCACCCAGTAACTAAGTCTCTAAAAACAGGCAGAGAGGGGGGAAATGGAAGCAACCAAATAAGAGGAGAATGGCTAATTACATGTTCACAGGCTGCAATATTAAGCAGCAATAAACAACAGGGCATCTGAATAATTTTTATTGGATTTGGGAAAAGCTTTACAATATGAAGTTAAGGGAGAAAATGCAGCATATAATATTGATTACCCAGGAGTATCTCCATCTTGTAACATGCACGTGGATCCGTATACACGCACACACAGAATTTTAAAAAGGGAATGAAAGAATACACCAATGCAACAAGACATTCGCAATGGTCACCTGGTGATAGGATCATGAGTGAATTTTATACCTGCCTATATACTTTTATATATGATTCATCTTTTCCTGCAATGACATGTTTCAATTTATTATTTTTTTAAAAAACTACAAGTAGTATTTTTTTTTAACCATAGGAAGCTAAGACATTTCTTGGTCACTGTAAGGTATAGAACAGTGGTTCCCAACCTTTTTTTGGCCATGCCCCACCTAAGCGTCTCTAAAATCCTGATGCCCCCCACCCCCTCCTCGTGACATATAATTCTTATTTTTCAAAAAGTGAAGTCCTATTCACATGGAGGAAGCCTAAAGGGCCATTAACTTGGTCTAAACAAGCTTCCAAAGAACATGGCATCCATGAAAGAGAAAAATAAAAGAACAAAAGGACAGGTGAAGTATTGAGGAAGAAATTGTTAAAAAATAATAATAATATGAAGTGATATAAAAAAGTGGCAAATAAAGTTTCAAAACATCCGTGAGGCATGTGCCCCACATTGGGAACCACTGGTGTAGAAGATGATGGTCTTTAACTGATGAGACCATGGTAACAAGAATCCTTAATATCTACACAGGCTTTACAGTTTTTACATGTATTGTTACTTAATGTGTCTGATTCCATCCTCACGATCTGGAAGTGGTATTATTCTCATCCCCATTTGTAGCTGTGTTAACTGAGACACAGAAAAGTGAAGTGCTTTATCTGGGGCCTCGATCCAGCACTCCTGAATCAGTGTGCTGTCGCAAGTCCTGCCACTGCACCCCGCCATCCGAATCTCTCCCTTCTTCTCCACCAGCGGTTCTCTTTCACAGGGGTCGCCTAAGACCATCCTGCATATCAGATATTTACATTACGGTTCATAACAGTAGCAACATTACAGTTATGAAGTAGCAACGAAAATAATTTTATGGTTGGGTCACAACATGAGGAACTGTATTTAAAGGGCCAGAAGGTTGAGAACCACTGTTCTACACACTGAGAGCGTAAACCAAAAATAAACCAACAAAGATGCCAACAGCATGGAGGGCCAATGAAGTGGCCGGGAGAAGACTACGTGACACCCCCCTTCAAGCACACCTAAATCAGAGTTCTCTTTCCAAACACCCTCACCACCCAAATCCCAAAGCCCACAGAACCACCTCGGCCTAGTTGAACTCAGCCCTGGTATCTCTAGCTGCCATCACAGCGAAATTCAAGGCCTGCGTCTCCAACATGTATTTAACCAGCCAAAGAGCAAAGATGCTAACCTACCCCACTCCCTTCATACTGGGCATTGAGCAGGCACATTTTCAACCTCTCCCAGGCACTAACCATGCTCTCTCATACCCCCATTCCAGGGGGCAGGTCCTCTATAAACACCCCACTGCCATCGCTGCAGCTCCTGCCCAGACAAGTTTCCGGCGGGGGCACAGCTACCCCAAAGCTGAGATTTGGCTGTCAAAGGTTACCCGCAGAATAAAACACACTGCTATTTCTTGCAGATAGGCCTCAGTGGTGGTCCTGTTTTTCCCTTCCTTCAGGAGGGAACTGAAATACCAACTTCCAGGTTCCCAGTCAGTCCTCCCTTTAGTTCAGCCCTGCTCAGGGGTAAATCCTGGGTCGATACCCATAATTCCCGTGCCCTTCTTCTCTGCTGGATTGAATTTGGGGGCCGGCCAGGGGGAAGTGCAGGGTGCTGGGTGCTGCTGTCCTGCATTCGTTAGACATATGTTTAACCCCAGAGAACTATCCTGGCTCCCCACCCGCCTTCACCAGCGGACTCAAGCGCCTTCTCCCTCTCCCTGCCCAGGCTTCCACTTTTGACATCCATCAAAAGCAGGGTTGGGGCAGGGATGACCCCTTTACCACCAAGCAGGCTCCCTGTAAAGTGTGGCACCCCAGGCCTCCCTTCCAGCCAGGCCGGGGAGACTTTCCACATTTCTCCACACCACCAGCCCTCCAGCCCCGACGGGAAGAGGCCTCACCCCCAGCGGCCACGCCCGGCGCCACCCTCCCAGCACCTCGCTTGTCTACTTGGAAATCCACTGGTGTCTCCCAGGGCGGGGGCCGGACTGTGCTAAACAAATCCAGGGAAAGAAAACAAACTGGCTAAAGCCCTTGGCCTCCCCAACCACCAACTCCCCCAAACACCCGCCAGCACCAAAAGGCCCGCGGGCCTGGGAATTCCCCTTTTGGGAAATACAGAGGCCGGCGGCCCCGCGAGCCTGCAAAGGGTGGAGGCTCCTTAGCTCCATCCGACGGTGGGTGGTAGGAGCCGAGAGCGGGTTGGGCGGGGAGGGAAAGGGAGTCGACGGAGTGTGGGGTCGGGTGGGCCCAGCACTGCGGTGCTGGGGCACCCCAAAAGCTACCTGGAGAAGGGAGACAGTCAACCCCACAGGGTGTCCCCCCCATAAAAGACAGATGTCCCCAAGTTTTCCTAACCCCACAAACTCAGGAGCGGGCCTTTCTCTCCCAGCGGGCGTGTCCCTCCCAACCACCCCCACCCCCAGATTGGCCTCCAGAAGCTGGCGTCCCCACCTTTCCTCAATCCGGCTACCAGAAGCGGACGTCCCTCCGAACCATGTCCCCAGCTGAGATCTCCAGTCGCCACCGCGCGCCTCGACAGGTTGGGCAGGTAACACCCGGCTCTGCGCAGGTAGGGAGTGCGGGCTCCGCTCACGGACCCGCACTGGCGCTTACCTGCTCCGCCCAGGTGCGCCCAGCTCACGTCAGCGCCTCACCCCAGACGCCACAGCCACCACCGCCACCTGGCCACGCCCCCCAGGTGTGGTCACGCCCCCTGCGCTCAGGATTGGCGGGTTGCGAGAAATATGAACCTCTGTGCTCCGGGAGGCCCCGCCCCGCTTCTTACCACCCGCCCTGAGAAAATGTGCAGATGCGGGCTCACACCTTGTGCCCGCGGGGGCTGGTGGTCCAGGGAACTGGAAGTGACGGGGAGGTCAGATCTAAGTCTAGAGGGTGCCACCCCCGCTTCATGCCCCATAATTACCCTGCTGTGTGGAGACTGTTAACCCCACATAAAGGTTTAGCGATTCTGGGTGGCCCGGCTAGCCATGGGCCTGTGGAAGCAGGCTATGGGGAAGGGACTCTGGGTCTCCTCTGGGGGAAGCCCTGTGGCTTGCAGAGCAAGAATTCCGCCTTGACTCCGCCTCTTACCTGGGTGACCCTGGCTGAGTTACTGCGTTTCAGTTTCCTCATCTACTCGGTCACTTTCCGGTACAGATGAAAAGCATGGCATCTGGAGATTCGCACCCCAATTGTTTATCTCATTTCAAAAGATTGAGATTCAAACCCCAACTTCTTCGGTTACTGCAGACTTGGGAAAGTTTCTAAGCTCTCTGGACCCCAGTTTCTGATCTGAGCTAGAACAAGGTAAATCATTGCTCCCTGCTCAAAGGGGTATTGTGGGGATTCAGTAAGTTACTTAATATAAAGTGATTGGAACGGTCGTTGGCACTCATCGAGCGCTATATAAATACTTGCCATTTTTATCAGTGTATAAGGATTAAAAAGTACCATGCAGGCAGTGCCTCACAGAACAAGATGACATCTCCGGTTATTGCCTGAAATTCAAGGCCCGTATATCCCATAACAGGCGCTTGAGGAGAGATCGCCAGTCCAGACAGAATACATGCTTACAGTGAGCTGTGCACCAGTGCATGAGACCCCAGCTGCACTGAGCTGTCATCAGTAAGAATGGGCATAAGCAGAGTAGTTAAGTGTTGGAGTTTAAAGCACTGAGTTGGAGACCACGGAGGAGGAGTATTATGGTTGAATAGTGTCCCCCTAAATTCAAATGTTGAAGTCCCGTAACCTCCAGTATCTCAGAATGTGACCTTACTTGGAGATAGGGTCCTTACAGAGCTAATCGAGTTAAAATGGGGTGCTTAGGGTGGATTCTGCTCAAACATGACTGGTCCTTATAAAAAAGGGAAATTTGGACATAGAGACAGGCACAGAGAGAAGACAGCATCTACAAACCAAGGAGAGGCCTGGAACAGATCCTTCCCTCAAAGCCCTCAGAAGGAGCCAGCCTTACAGATGCTTTGATTTTGAACTTCTAGCCTCAGGAACTGGGAGACAGTAAGTTTCTGTTGTTTAAGCCACCCAGTCTCTGGTACGCTGCTTCAGTAGACCTAGTAAACTAACGCAGACAGGTTGGAGAGCTCCAGATTCGTAATAATGTGGACTTGACCCCCAGTCCCAATTAAGCTTGGGGACATCGCCAACAAAAGCCTAGGAAGGCAGCAAGCCCCAAGCCTGCCTCAGCCAGCCGCTGCCTCAGCCACTGCGGGCGACCAGCTCTGCCTTCATGCAGGGGAGGGGCTATCACATCAGCACAGCCAGGTCTTTATGGCTGATGAGCTCACTGGACAAGCAGCGTCTTCCTTATAGCCCAAGGCTAGGCTCCAGAGACTGAGCGAACCGTCCACTGCAGGTGTGTGTGAGGATCAGAGGGGAGGGACCACCAGGAGGGTGTCACTTAAGGGGAGATAAACGCCCAATCGCACCCTAGCCCATTTGGCTCAGTGGGTAGAGTGTCAGCCTGTGGACTGAAGGGTCCCAGTTCTATTCTGGTCAAGAGCATGGACCTCAGTTGCAAGCTCAATCCCCGGCCCTGGTTGGGGTGTGTCCAGGAGACATCCAATAAATGTGTCACTATCAGCTCTCTTTCTCTCCCCCTCCCTTCCACTATCTCTAAAAATCAATAGGGAAGTGTCCTCGGGTGAGGATTAACAACACAAAATAAATTAAAAAGCCCAATGGCATAAAAGTATAATAAAAGTGTAATATGCTAATTAGACGGGACATCCTTCTATATGACCTTCCAGACGAAGCCAGGGAGGAAGCCCAGGCCCCAGGTGCCAGAGGGAAGCCGGTGCCAGCAGCCAGGGGAAGGAAGGCCTACTCTTGCACGAATTTCGTTTTCGGGCCTTTAGTAAAAGTATAAGCCGACAGGAAGGCATTCACTTTTGCATTAGTTGAAATCTCCACAACTAAGGTGATTTCTTAAAGATCTTTAGAAGACTCGTATTTTAGAATCAGAAAATTCAAGCTGGGAAAGCCCTTCCAATCCTCTAGTCTGAGGGTGAAACTGGCTTAGAGATATTTGTTTGACCCACATAGTGTTTTACACACCGGGAGACTTCACATAAGCATTTGGATTCTCGGCAGCTCTTGAAGAATCAAATGCTCTCAACACCTCGGGCCCACAGTTCCACCGGGCAATGGCTGCCCATGTACAGGGGCCTACACATGACAGTTGGCACAACCCCACCCTATTGGGTTCCCTCATTTACTTTCACTGCCTGACCCTGTAGGCATATGAGGTTGCAACCTCTAGTCCAAATCCCCCCTTTTTATAGGTGAGAAAACTGAGGGCCAGAGAGGTCAAGTGATTTGCTCAAGGTCAGGTAGCAAATTAGCTGCAAAGCCAAGACTAGAACCCAAACCCAGGGCTGTTTCCACTTGGACCTGGCTCAGAACCCCAGCCAGAGTCTATTCTATTTAGAACTGCACTGGTTGTTAATTTTTTTAAATCATCATGTATGTAGGCATTTTGGATACTATATGGGACAAAACTAAGTCCCAAGACTTGTGTCACTGTACGGAAGAGCCAATGAAAAGGGAGAAAGCAGGAGGAACTAAGGTAGAGATCAGAAGGAGCTTCCTGACTCTTGGAATGGTGAAATCTGGCTTGGTCGAGGGAATGAACCTCTCCAAGGCTCTGGAGAAATCAGTTCTTTTCTGTTCTTGAAGAACTCTCTTAGGATTCAGACGTCCGCAGTGCGGTTTGAGCCTGGGATGTCTCCAATGTCTGTCCATCAGATGGGGTAATGCTGACTCACTCCTGAGTGTGAGTTTCAGGCAGTGGGATGTATGTTTCAGCACTCGGGGCTCTGATTCACAACTACAGGGAGTGGGGAATTCCTCTCTCCTGCCCCCAGGCAGTTCTGACTTGGTGAGGAGGGGTCTCCTTCATCACTCAAAGGCTGTATGTCAATCATGTGACAGTAAAGTCATGTGGCCCAAATCCCACTCTTGGTAGAGCGGAGGGCATGGCAACTGGGGAGGCTCTCAGTGACTCAGTACAGAGGAGAGCTTAAGGCTGCTGGAGTCAGTGATAGCAAATCTCTCTGAGGCGAGGCTGTGGGCTGCTGGGGCTACTGAAGATGGAGTGGGGACCTCCAGCTAAACACTCCAATTCTGTGCACCCCAAGGCACTCAGACCCCAGCCAGCCTTCTGCACTGCATTCTGGGGCCCAACTGGTCTACCCCAAATCCTTCCTCCATCTTGCTTTCTCTCTGGCTCCACCCAACTGCTTCGAGGCGCCAAGGTACAGATGAGCCCGACACATTGCTTTGAATTCACCGTGCACTGGTTGTTGCCCCTTCCTCTGCCTTGGTACCCTCCATAGATTCTATCCCAGAATGCAATCCAAATCCTTGAATTATCACTATTTCTGCAGCTGAAGCTGCACCAGAAATGAATTCATAAATAAATTTCACTTTCCAACTCAGGCAATGCAATAGACCTCGGTTCGGTACTTTGGGAAAAATCCCCACTTAGGTGTTCAGCCTCTATTTTTTTTTTTAATATATTTTTGTTGATTTCAGAGAGGAAGAGAGAGGGAGAGAGAGATGGAAACATCAATGATGAGAGAGAATCATTGATCAGCTGCCTCCTGCATGCCCCCCTACTGCTGATTGAGCCTGCAACCTGGGCATGTGCCCTTGACTAGAATCGAACCCGGGACCCTTCAGTCCACAGGCCGATGCTCTAACCAAACCGGCTAGGGCTCAGCCTCTATTCTTAAGCCAAGCTGCGCACTGGCAAATGTTCTCAAAGAAGCAGCTTTCTTTATTCCAAACTTGGATCTAGGTAGGAGGAGGAAGAGGAAAAACTAGACCCAGTAAATCACTTGGAAGGAAGCCACCTGCCCCCCACCCCCACCCCTTACTCCCGGGGCACCTTCCTCTATTCTTTCTTCCCTTCTGTGCCAATCTGAGGCTCCACTTCCATCTCCCCTGGCAAAGGAAGCTTCCGTTGGCCCTACAGACAAGGGAGCCCAGTAAGAAACTACAACTGTCATGCATGTGAGACTTCACAATTCTGATGTCAACTACGCTGCCCTGTTGGGACAGATCCGTGCCCGGATTTTGACTTCATGGTCAGCACCAACCAACCTACCCAGTGATTGTTTGCTGCTGTGAAGTGCGATTGTGGATATAAAAGCTCTCTGACAATGGTCAAGTGCTTTGCCGACTGGGGAGATCACTCCTAGTGTTACCTGCTCTTTGTTTCTTCATGTAAATTCTTTTCTCCCGGCCTCCCTCAAGTCCTTAAGGCAGCAAGGCACAGGCCAGCCAGGATCTTGTAAGCCAGGAGTTCCTGGCACAGGGTTAGGCTCAGGGTAAGCTTCGTGAGCACTGGACAATGAGCTGCCTTCAGAAAAAATGAGTTATCTGGGTATATAGAATCTTGGGCGGGGGTAGGGGAAGGCAGTGTGGTAAGAAACTGCATTTCTGTTCAATAAGACTGATTGACCAAATGTTTTACCTCTTCTCCTTCCCTACTCCATTCCAGGGTCAGAATAATGAAGGAATTTTCAAAAGATAACCTTGACTCACAAAATTCAGACAGGAGAAAAAGCATGGGAAGGGAGTTAAGA